CTGCACCGTCTGCCTTGGCATCTGCACCGTCTGCCTTGGCATCTGCACCGTCTGCCTTGGCATCTGCACCGTCTGCCTTGGTATCTGCACCGTCTGCCTTGGCATCTGCACCGTCTGCCTTGGCATCTGCACCGTCTGCCTTGGTATCTGCACCGTCTGCCTTGGCATCTGCACCGTCTGCAACATCAGCAATGCTCACTTTCCCGGTATTGGAAGAGTGGGTGTCTCCGCTGCGGTTGCTATTGCTGCCACTGACAGTTATGCTCATCAGCATCTCACAGATGGAATCGAAGGGGTGCTGCACCTCGTAGTAGGCCAGTGTCTCTTCATCGACTCGCGAGAGAATGTAGTCTCGCGCTTCTGGAAGCGAGATCGCCTTCAGTCCCTCTGCATACACAAGATGGTGCAGATGTGCCCGCAGTGTGGCGTCCGCCACTGCCCTGGTATCCAGCAGGAGCTGCTCTGGCCGGCCTCCCATCACCCAACCGAGGGCGACAACGAACTGTGAACGCACAAAGGCGAACTTGTTGGGCGAAAGGTGGCGCCCGAGGTTCAGGTTATCCTCGTACGGGTCCTCGATGCACATGCGATACCAGACACGATCTCGTAGCCTCTTCGCCATCACATCGGCGGCTTCCACCCAACCAAGACTCTCCCGTGTCACGTCGCTGTTCGGCGACCGTAGCGAGACCACACGCTCGTCCCACGGAAACTCCGAATAGAAGGAAAAGAACCCCGCCACGCAGTCACCGAGATTCGCCTTTAATTCCGCCAACACCGGGGAACTCGACACACTGCCCATAGATCCACCGCCAGCCCCCTCAACCCCCAGGAGGGGGATGTATGGCACATGCACCGGGGCACCCGACGGTACAATAGAAACAGAGACCGGGTCAACGTAACAGACAAGGCCACGCTGCAGCAGGTAATACACCCAAAGAATCATGACAGCATACGACGTCAGGTAACCCTTCTGAGCGTTGTTAATTCCACACTGCTTACTCCATCGCTTGAGAAACGCCACACCTGCCCGGACCACAGAATGCTGTGAGAGATACTCCCGCATAAACCAGCTATTGCGCACCCCCAGTGGTCTACAGCTAATGTCAAAATCTAAAGCAAAGATATCCGGCAACTGATGATCCGGCTTCCAAGCTTTCACCACGTTTTTCAGACCCCTTACCCTCGTTCGGTAATACCGCAGTGCCTGCAGGGCACTGTGAAAGTGCAGCGTCAATTTGTTCGTATTGCTCTCATCCACCCGAATATTTCTGCGTCTTGCTTCCCACACAAAGTCTTTGTATGCCCTATTGTCCTGCGGCTCCAAGAAGACGTAGTCAAGCTTGTAGCCCTTCTGTGCGTCCGGAAGAAGCAGGGGAGCCTGCACCTTTCGATTCCGTTTCACAACAGGCACGCGTGTCTTGATGACAACTTCCAGCTCATTGTGCAGGAAGCCAGAATTGCGGAGCGCGGAAGCGATGCGCAAAATGTGTCGCCGCTCGTCAGGGTGCTCCAACGCTCCCGCCGCAAACAGCTTCACGAGAGAGGGCTCCAGCACCGTGAAATCGGCGTCGCTGACGCCATCCCATGAGCCGGAGGCAACGCAACTCCCAAAGAGAAACACCGTTGCACTCGGCAAAACGCTTTGGGCAACTCCATTAAGCTGCTCCGACGCACGCTGGATCAACGCAAATGCTGCTGGACCCTTATCCAGCTCCGAAACAATCTCAAGCACAAAAAGGCCAAGAGCGCTGCAGTGCTCTGGTGGCACAGGCGTCGTGCGTAGTCTCAACGCCCACACAGAAAGAACTCGGTCACACCAGTGCATTAACGCCATGTGGTTTCTCTGGTGGTGCAAATGTTCTTCCTCGTCGATGACTTCATTGCAGAGATCGCACCTGAGGTAGCCCTGACCTTCTCCGTTACTCGCCCTCAATTCCTGCACGGCGTCGGCCGACGCCTCTCCCTCCTCCTCATCTTCCCTGGCAGCTGAGACCGACCCCGCGTCGTCGCACCCATCTTCATTCTGTTCAGTTTGCACAGCATCAACCACCTGCTCCTGACTCACCGCCTTTGGTGCCTCAGTAGCTACCGCCGGAGGAGCCTCCACGTTTACAACCGGCACCCGCGGCTTCCTTTTCCTCTGCTTCAGCATATCTTTCCGTCGCGTTCAATTCACTTCTGCCGGACAAACCCACACGCAACAAGGGGCGTGGTGAGTCCGGTGACGCGAGGGAGAAACAGCAGCCACACACATACACACAGCGAGCCAAAGATGAAAAGCAAAAAAAAAAGTAGAGAAATGATTTGAAGGGAAAGGCGCTGCAGTGAGGAGGATCTGATGCAAGACAACCCCACCCAGGGCACGAGCAACTCAGTAGGGCAGACCCGTGCGCAGTCAAGCGCAGGGCATAGAAGGCAGGGCCGCCGCTTTCAGAGAGGAGGGGTGATGGGCAGGCTGTACGACAGAAAAAAAAAAACAACAACAACAAACAAACAAACAAACAAACAAAGGAAGCAATGGAGAGAAAACAAGGCCGTGCAAAAATTCCAGGCTGAAGACGCGCGCCATTGAGGTCCTCACTAGAGGTGCAAGCAAAGTTTCAGTTGGGAAAGACACATCTACCGCCGCAAAGGTTCTGCATCTTAGTATCAAAATGTTGTCAAGAATGCGGGAGTCGCTTTCAGCGGGCTCACAAAGGCGCCCTTGTTTCCAGCGCCTATGATTTTATTGTGCACATCCATCCCTTCCAGGCCGACGCAGGGGTGTAGTGTCTTGCCCCGCAAGCCCAGAGAGGTCTCAAAGACAATGCCTTGATACTCGTCGTTGACGAAAAGCTGCGCACATCCCTCATCGGTGTCAACGAGAAAACCAAAGCGGGCGCCTGACACGGGAACAAACAGGCGCCACAGACGCTTACACTTCTCGCCGTTCACCTCAACCATGGAGGTCTGACAATTAAAGACCCAGCACTCGCCGCACGATGGCGCCCCGCCATGTGTGAAGGGGTCCCACCGCTTACCAAGCTCAACCTCTTCAAGGTCCTCCAGTGTGCGGAATGCCTCCTTGGTGCACAAGCCGAGCTTGCATGCATCCGTATTTGTCCTAATCTCATAGTATAACTTCCCACTGCCGGGGGGGCAGCGCGAGATCACCAACCACAGGCCTGTAAGGACTTTTACCCCCACCTTTATGCAACACATGCGACCCATGTAGTACATACGCATCGCCGCCCCGCGCCCACCCAAAAGTAACGCTGGTGATGCCTGCACACGCCGCGTTTTCCATGTTTTCCTGCAGTTGCAAAGAACAGCAGCAAAGAAAAAACTAAACAAGAAATAAATATTTGTACATATATGTTCTGTTGCAGACCCGTTCCTTTGCCCGGGGTGCAGGTTGAGGGGGGGCCGCACTCTGCCAAAGGTCCTGGCGAATGCACACTTTAAGAAGCGGGAAGAGAAGAGGCCTCCGTGACACCGCAGAGCACCAGCAGAAAGATTAAGAACCACAGCTCGCAAGCGTTGACAACAAAAAGCAAGAGAGAGGAGAGAAAAGAGCAAACAAAAAAAATCCAACACATGCGGTTGTTTTACGTGAAAAAAAGTAACAAAGAAATGGACTGGAGAAACAATCCATGGCACTGGCGGAGACGACAAAGCAGCAACCACCACCGGCCTCGCTCAAGAGGGCCTGGCGCCGCTCTACTTCTTCTTGGTCTGCATTTTGCCCTTCGCCTTGCCGCGAATCTTCTTGTTACGGTTGCGACGCTCCTTCACAGACTTGCGAGCCGGCAGCTTCTTCTTGCCCATGCCAAGGCGGGCCTTGCGGTAGTTGGGCTCAATGCGCTTCAGAGCGGCGAGGTCGTCGTAGATGAGGCCAAAGCCGGTCGTCTTGCCCCCACCAAACTTCGTCTTGAAACCAAAGACAGAGATCTGGTTCTCGTCAGCGACCTTGTAGAGCGATGCGAGACGGCTACGGATGAGCTTGGCGGGGACGGTGCCGCACCAGCCGGGGTGGTTCACCTCCACGATGAACTGCTTGCGGTTGAGCAGCTTGTTCACCTTGAACTGCGAGGTGCGGACCGTCACCTCCGCCTTCTTCTTCTGAAAGCCATGCTGTTTTCCTGCGCGT